ACGCCCATATCCACACGCAAACAGCATCTGCTTCTTCTTCTGCTTCTCGTCTTTTCCCTGAACCGCACTCGTTTCATAAACGCTTACTCGTCTTACCACCTCCACATCCGTCCTCCTCTTCTTTCCACTTACACTTGTCGTTCCATCATCTCAGAGTTTTCACTTTGCACTCTTTACACTAGAGAAAGCTCCCTGCACAGCATTCGTCAAGAGTATTTACACCATTGCTTCTAAGGCTCCTTTCTGCTGCTCCGGCAGAAGTTATTCTGTTGTTTGCCTTCACGTTGTCATTGATTAGACAAACACATGACTGGTAATTTCCCACATCTTGTAGGACTAATATGAAGGAAACGATACAAACGCCAATTTGCAGACGTTACCAGGAAAGCAGACGGTAACTGTTTCGATCATCAGACCACATTATGCCATTTATAGCCCTAAACTAATCTGCAATGTTCCAGAGTGCCACAGAAATACATGAGCAATTATATACAAAAGAATAAATGGAAAGTAATTAAATACATAAGCTGATTATGTTTATTAAGAAGAATAACCTGAGGTTTGTTGGGTTCTTGCAGTTTCCAGTTTTGCTTCTTATTAAATGCAGCTCATTGCTGTGGCATCAGCCGTTGGTGTGTGGATTTAACATTCAACATCAGCATTTTAGTTTTTATTTATTTTAGAACAATTTTTTGAAATGTGTCTTTCTGGTGTTCCCCATCTGGACTCTTCGGTGCTTTCAGGGCCCTCTCAGCTCATTATCACCATCCCTTTAGCGCTGTTCACCCCCGAGAGGAGCCACTTTTTCCAAAGCGCTAACCCACGAAGGAGCTGTCACTCCAGGAAACCTCGCTTCTGCCTCCAGCTACGCCTCACCTGCGTCTCTCATCTGTGCTTACGCCTTTTTCATGCACGCTCTCCAGCATGACCGATGTTTTCCTCTCTTGCTCGTTGCAGCCGGGACAACTCCCCCAGCCTGAAGGAAATCCGAAACGGCTGTCAACAGCAGAACGACCGCAAACCCCCGATGCCGCTACGCCTGCTGCGGCCCGAACCCCCGACGCCACCTCCCGCCACCATCCTACCGCTCTCTACCACCCCCAGTCCTCCTCAGCCACCTCCCCCAGCCCCCACTAACCCCGTGGCTCCAACCATCCCCATCTCCTCTCCGACGTCCTCCCTGCCGCTCTCTCCTCCTCCCTCCGTCGTCAACTCCAGCGAGATCCTGGTGGAGCTAGAGCGGAACAACAATTCGGCAAACACCAAGCGGAAGGGCGGGCCGACGAGGGGCGACAGCGAACCCAACCTTATCGACTGTCTGCTGGTCAGCCCGGCCGTCAACACGCTCTCCATCCAGCTGCCGGCGCAGGCTGACCGAGTGCTGGGCTGCTTCGCTCTCATCCTCAAGATGCTGTGAGTTAATGC